AGCGGCCTGGGTGCGTCCCACACCAGCGAGCATCCTACCCTGAACCCTAAACCCTAAACCCTAAACCCATCCATGCTAAAATTATTGGCATTTGTGTCGGAGAGGATGTGCCAGTGAAGATCTGGTATGATTGTGAGTCTGCGCAGCAGGTTATGCGGTTCGGCACTCCAAAGACTGGGCCTTTAGAAGAGGTGGCGTCCAGTGTTCGTGCTATATGCAAACACTTAAAAGTTGACTTTGCTTGGGAACATGTGCCGGGACACTGCGGGGACCCGTGGAATGAGTTTGCGGATGTGTTAGCTAAGCAGGCTCTTAACAACAGTATCAATGGGGAAGCAGACGATCCAGATGTAACTGTTCCTATGGTTTGTGAGGACTGGGCAAAATGGCTTTGGATGTGTATTGCCACAGAGCAGGATCCAATGCCTTGGCCAACCCTTCGAAATGATGGCACATTTGTATCTGGCAAGCAAGGTCAGCGATGCCCCAAACCAGCGGTCACCGACATGACAGGAGATTACGCGCAGGCCAGCTTTCATTTCCTCATTGCGTCATACAACACCTTGTCTCTCAAGGCCACGGGACAGGCTGAGTGTCTTGACCATTACTTCGGTCTTTCGGAGTGCTGCATTCTGGGTCTTCAAGAATGTCGAACTGACGGACAGGCTGTGGAGATGGCTAATCACTTTGTCAGGTTCAGCAGCTTTGCTGACAATGGCCGCGATGGTTGCCAGACCTGGCTGTCAAAGTATGCTCACCCGGGTTGTGATTCGCGTGGTAACAAGCTAACATGGGAAATTGATAGCTTCTCTTTCCACCATTCTGATCCCAAGTGCCTGGCTATTGTCGGAAAGGCGGGAAGGCAACTCTTTGGCATTGTGTCGGCACATGCTCCTACATCAGTGAGTGAACATGACACCATCTCCTCGTTTTGGCAGGAACTCGCTGAGATCGTTGGCAAGCTGCCAGAACATGCCATAAAGATTGTGTTGATAGATGCTAATGCTACCTTCGATGCCAGTGATCCTCGTGGCTGTTATTATGCACCTGTTGATGCCAATGCTGAAGCAATGATTGTCATGCTCCAAAAGACCGATCTGTGTGCTTCAGATCTTTGAGGAAACCACGTGGCGAAGCCCAAATGGTGCTGAGAAAGCCCTGGATTTCATTTGTTTTCCTCGAAATATGATGAGCAATGTCGTGACATTGGGAAGTGATGATGATATACGTGATTTTTTCTCAGGAATTGACCACAAGCCAATTTGGGTTGAGGCGCATTTCATGATTGCTGGGCCACCCCAGCAGTCCAGGCAGAGATCATTTGATTGCAAGGCCATGCAGACTCCAGAAGGCAAGACTACTCTTGAACGCATCTTTGCTGAAGCGCCTAAAGTACCATGGAGCGTGCATGCTTGCGACCATTGGGAAATCTTGAAGAATTACATGGTTGAGACATGTCATCAGCATTGTCCAGTGCCGGCACTTCCGCCCAGAAAGTCATATATCTCCGATGAGATGTTTCAGGCCATTTGTCTGCAGAGACAGCTGAGAATGGAGTTGCGACATCGCAATCAAGCTCAGACACGGCGGATATTGACCATGTGTATTCGGAAATGGAGCGAGATATGTGGCATTCGAGACTCGTCATGGTGGTCCGGTGAATCCATGATTGAACGACACAGTTTGTGGGTAAAGCAACATGACCTCATTGTAGCCAGCAAATGGAAGCAACTTAAGGAGGTACGAAAGGGTGTTCGACACATGGCGCGCGGCTGTCAGGCAGACAGGGCAAGGGCGGCCTTTGCTGAAGCTCGCGAATCTGGGCCCAGAGCCATTGCAAATCTCATGACCAGTCTCATGAAGACAGGCCGACGTTACAGGCCTCCACGATTGTTGCTACCGATAATTGATGAAGCCGGGAATGTCATGACTAACGAAGATGATGTCATGGAGGCTCTGGGAAATCACTTTGCGAAGGCAGAGCGTGCTATACCAACTGACTTGACAAGCTATCGAGCTGCAAGAGAGCCCAAAACGGAGGTGCCGCTTTCCATAGATGGATCGAATGTGCCCTCCCTGGCGGAGCTTGCGTGTGCATTTCGAAGCACCAAAGCTGGCAAGGCGCCCGGTCCCTCTGGCCTCGTTCCTGATATTTTCCGCAATAGTGCACATGGGGCTGCTATGGCTCTGTATCCCGTTTTCCTCAAGCAGATCATGCGTTGCGAAATGCCGGAAGACTTCCTCAGGTCATGGATACGCCCTATCCCTAAGCCGGGAAAGAGTTTGGCACATCCATCAGGCTGGCGGAGCATCGCGCTCCAGGAGATTCCGAGCAAAGCCATCAGTGCAACTTTCAGGAGGCACCTGCTTCAGGCCCTTGACTGTGTGGCGAGCCCGCTTCAGTTAGGAGATCGGGCAGGCGGACCTATGACTGTGCCTTCGATGCACGTGTGGGGACACTTGCGCAGGATGCGTGTCTTACGCAAAAGTGCAGGTGTGCTGTTTATAGACGGAGTGCAAGCCTTTTACTCAGTCATCAGAGAGCTGGTGATTGGGGTCGAAGAAGGTGAGGAAGGTCTCTCGAGGACTATTGCAATCATAGAGGCCATGCATCCTGAAGAATTGAAGAACAGATACGCGCCGACGTTTTCAGATTGCTCTGCGGGCCGTCGATTTTGGAGCAGGCTAAAGCACCTATCTTCGTACAAAACTTTCTCAGGCAAAGTATGACTGCGACCTTCTTTCAACTCCAACCTAGGCGTGACAAAATCTATACCACCACTGCAGGTATGGTGCCAGGCACTCCCCTTGCGGATGTTGTTTATCAGTTAGCGGTTGTTGCTTTCCACCAGAGATTGCAGAGCCAGTTGGAAGAGGCAGGACTCCTTGTTGAAGTGGAAGGCAAGTGTCATAACAATGGTGTTTGTGCGCAGACTTCCAGTACAGCTACTTGGGTTGATGATATTGCACTTCCGGTTTTTGCAACTGCTGCTGCGGCCTTAGTACCGAAGGTTGCAAAGATTGCTGCCATTGCTGAACAAGCTCTTGCCATTACAGGTGTTCAAGTCAACTAAAGCGTTGGAAAGACCGAAGCCATTGTCTGTTTTAGGGGGCAAGGAGCATCGTCTGTTCGCAGATTCTGGATGGTCGAACAAAGAGCACAAGTCGAAGTACCATGGGGGCCTGGGAAAGGAGCTAAACTGGTGCTTTCCACTGAATATGTTCATCTTGGGTGCAAGTTGCAGGCGAATGGGATGAGCCTTCGTGCCATTGAGCATAGAGTAGCAATTGCAAAGCCAGTTTTTACAGCGCTGCGTAAGCGTCTACTCCTTAATGATGCCCTGTCTCAAGCAGATCGCATGAGGCTTGTTCTTCAGGGGCCTGTGGCAAGCCTAACTCATGGTTCTGGGATGTGGGACATGGCGCATGGCAGGACTGTCGTTAAGGCCCGTGATGCGATGATGAGCATTTTCAGACAATGTGTGCGACCTTTGACTGGGATGAGCTGTCGAGGGCTCACCAATGATGAGGTTTGCCAGTTGATTGAATCAGTTCGGCCTGCGCAATCTTTGCAACACAGTAGGATGAGACTTTCAATTTCCATTGCTGGTCTGATGGATGAATATCTGCTGGGAGTCCTCGTTGAAGAGTAGTCATGGCTTTGTGCAGTTCTTCAGGATTGGCACCAGCATGGTGAACACGAATGGGACAATTACAAGAATGGAGTTGCTACTTCTGAACACGGCAGAGAGATGTTTGCGTTTTTGTGTAAAAACAAGCATCAAGTGCAGGCTAGCATTCGCAACACCATCCGCAAGCAGCTACAAGCACAACAGCAAGGATTCGCAGATCTTTGGACAAAGGTGGTTTGGCTTAACGCACTCTACAGCAGTGGAGCTCATAGTTTCCATCCCGCAGGAGCAATGAGCCAGTGCAAAACGCCAGTTGCATGTCCTGAATGCCATCGTGTGGTGCATGGGTCTGCGGCTTTGGCTTCACATGGGCGCCGGGTGCATGGACAGTCTTCGTTAGGTGCAATGCTTGGCGATTTCACATGCTGTCCCATATGTCTTACGGAGTTTTGGACATGTGAACGGCTTTGGATGCACTTGAGAAAAGCTTCTACGTGTCGCATTTTGTTCGTTTCTTCAGACCCTGACTTGGTGCCCAACAAAAAGCTACAGGCGGAGCCAGCCAGATGGCCTGCTTGTAGAGTTAGCGGGCCCAAGCCCTGGTGGGCTTACTTGAAGATTTCTGACAATTTGATGGAGCATGCAATTGAGCAGTCGCATCATTCAGATGAGGCGAGGCTGGAGCATGCATGGCAAGCCTTCAAGAGCGACAAGACTACTGCGACGGCTGAATGGGTTTTGCGCAGTTGGAGTGGAATTTTTCAGATTGTGCGAGAGTGTGAGATCACAGTAGAGACCCTTAGCGATGTGTGCACAGATGCTGAACTAGTCCAGCTTGTGAAGGCGTGCTACGGCCATAGGACCCAGATCCTTGAGTTCCATCTCCTTTGCATCGGGGAACGCTTTTGGGTGGTGCCTGAGCACGCTTTGCATCTGGCAAAGCAACCATAGGTTGCGCTCCTTTTGCATGTGATGAATTCTTCTCGTGACTTTTGTCCTCGAGTATCCATCAATCAATCAAACCCTAAACCCTAAACCCTAAACCTCCCAGCATGCCGCTTCTCCGGCGTCCCAGGCGCCGGCACACCCGTTGCCCCAATGGGCCGGAGTCATGCTTCGACCAAGTCAAGGCTTGGAGCGTTTAATGTGCCAGGGCTTACCGTTTAGGTTAGGAGGACCTTACTCTTAGGGTCCTCTTCTATTCCTATTATACCACTATTACAGGGTGGGGGGTCCTCC